AAGTCCCACTGATGATAATCCCACCTTAATATACCAAATAAATAATAATAATGGATATTATCAAAGTGTTGATTGATTAATTTGAAAAATTTAATTTAGCATCAAAGGAATATCTGACTTTTTTCCTGGTTCATGAAATTATGATGACACTTTTTTACGCTAAAAAGTCACGAAATGCGCAATAGTTGTTTGTAGTATTTAAACATTTCTAGCCTGTCACTAACACACATTAGCATAGCTTCGAAAGCAATAAACGCACATTTGCGCATCAATAAGCAACCATAAATATACATGTGCTTTCTGACGAATCAATAAATGTACGTTTGCAAATTGTTCACTTCTCATTTGTTCGACCTAAAAAATCAATAAATCCACATTTGCGTATTATTAATTTATCAAGACGGACATTTGCGCTATCAAGAGATTCAACAAATACATTTGTCAATATTATTATAGAAATTTTCATGATATTCAAATTTTAAAACACAAAAATTTCAGAGAAAAACAAAATTTGGTTTCGAACATTTAAAAATAACAGATATAGTGAGCACAGTTAAATTGTACAAAAGATTGACAATACATTGCTATCGTTGGAAAGTAAAACTGGATATTCAAAACCCCGTTATCACTGTTTACCCCAGTCAGTTCTTCTTCTGTTGCACTCGAAAAATGCGAAAAATAGAGCACTGATCCACTAATATCGTGAAGGATGTACACCAAGATTCCGCTGCGGAAGTATAAAAAGCGCTGTTGTCCGGTTTCCAACCGTTAATGATTCCGTATTGCTCTTTCAGTCTTTAAAAAATATTCTTAGATATTGTGTTTAGCAATGATTTTGCGCGTTAATGTCGATCTTCTCGACATTGCTTCAGAACATGTTCATCTAAATGATATACTGTTCAAGAATAAATTTACTGTATTATAATGAATTGTAAGATAAACATGCAGAGTATTTGCCATGACGGCGGTAACTTGCCGGATAACATTTACCTGATCATTATAATGTCATATGAAGTGAGAACTCCAATTCAATAATGAAAGCTGATTTAAATGTTAATTTTAGAAGTATTTTGCGAATGCTATTTTTTTGAATGTCATGAAATGGATTTGATATATTTTGCAAACAACAATAGGTTCCAGAAGACACGTGTGCAAAGTTTTGGCTGAAACCAATTTTTGAGGCTATTAACTTATTAGATGGCAACCCGCCTGATCGGTTAATAAGACGTAGACTTAAAGTATTAACAAGCGGAAACATAATTGCTTCATTCACAGTTCAAAAATTTATTGGATCAATTTGAAATTAATACCACAATTGAAATTAAAGCACAACAATGAAGAAAAGACTTTACTTTAGAAAACATCGAAATTATTATACAAACGATCTTAAATATGGCAAAGTTGATAGTATACATTGCTTTTTTCATCTGTTGTCAAGCTCCCAACGCACGTCAAGCAGGACAAAGACAAAATGGAGAAGTAAGAGGTATATATCTCACTTTTTTATCATTCTTATTTGCTCCCCAATGAAAATGCAAATCTGCTACGTGCATATTGCATTGTGCATCATTCTAGCTTTTCATTTGGGATTTCTTGTAAAACAGTATTTGATGAGAGAAGTAATTTTAGTGGTAACTGCATTAGTTCAAATACCATTGACTTTACTTCTGCGGCAGAGCCAACGAGAGTCACTTTACTACTTCACTTCTTTGGAGGAAAGAAATTCAAAATAGTAGAAAACTAGTTTCTTATTGTTGACAAGTCAAGGTGATAATAATAACTATTCCAAATCTCAAAGGTTCTCCCTTGTTCAATTAATTTTATCAGACTAACTATAGCATTAATTTCAGCCGCGGAGATTATCACAGATTATAAAGCTGATGAGTTATGGGAAGATGGTCGATTAATAGCGACAACAAAAGTAAACAAATGTATATTCATTTCACACAAAACTGATTTGTTAGCATTATTTAATGCTTAATGATTAATCACTTCAAGAACTTTCATTTTATAACTTGTAGGTTTCATTTATTTGCTTCTTTAATGTTAGAGAATTTGCATTATTATTTCTGTGGAATGATTGCAGCAACGCTGATGAATTATGGTACAATGGAAGATGGAAGATCGTTTATTTTGGAGGAGAAGCCATTTCTGTTTATGGAAAACTCTTTTAATTTGATAAAGTGAAATCAGGAGAATTGTAAATGTGCAGGTGATAAAATAATTAATTCGTGATAAGATAAGTGATAAAGATAAGTGATAAAGACGAGTGGTAAAGATCAAAAAAATTGTTCTACTCATAACGCTCTCTTGCCGCAATTTGATTAAATTAGCTTGCTTTCGTGTTTGATATTCAAATTCAAACCATGAGCGCATTTGTTTCAAATCGCTTTCCGCTTGCGCAAATGTATTTACAGGTCATTACCGAAGCTAGCATTTTACCCCTGTAGAAATACCATTATAAAATTCATTATTTGTCTTATTCAGTTCTTACATTCTTTCATGGTCTGATATTCCAATTAAGGCTATTTAGCTGCGGGTTCTCCTAACCATTGTGGTCCTTTCCGTCATAATTTGTATTCCTTTAGTTTTCCTAGAAGAAGCCTTTTGTAGCAGCATCCACAGGGTTATGCTCACTTGGGACATATCGGACATGTCGTTGGGACACTTGGACATACTTGGGACACTATTTTTGCTTTCCTTGTTTCTTCTGCCCGATTCTTTACGAATCTTAACAGCAATTTTGAATGATTCTGTATCCAACATAGTGCATATTTCGAGTTCGATCAAAGAGTTATTGGACACCCGTTTAGTTCTAATTGCTGCATGACAAGCTTTACTGCTTGTACACCAAAGGTATCGCAAGCATTTCCAATCAATATATGCTCATTCCTTTTATTGGGGTCAGTCTAGATTTAGCGAAAAGCACTGCTGTTTAGAACATACATCGCTGTTGCATATGTTACGTTTGAAGTGTCCGTGAAGACATGAATTTGCATTCGTTCCGTAGAGTTTATTGACATCCGCGGTATTTCGATAACATCTGTTAGCCACTTCTTGACAAGAGACTTCCATATTTCTTCGTCCTCTTGGTTTAGAATTTCATCTCTTTTCCTTT